CAGTTGAAAGTCAAAAACAGCCAGAGAAGAGTGAAAGTGTGTACTTGAAGTGAAAAGAAAAAAAATGGAAAATGTTTATTCCAAGAGTACATAACTGATATGGAAACACGTTTTTCTTTCCTCTTCCCTGCATGGCAGGAGAAGATTTAGTAATGAACTTGAAAAAGCTGATACATTATCATGCACTATCTGAAAATACACTTTACATGAAATGTTCATTTTCAAAGATAACTGCATGGTACTTAACCTTAAAACTTAACTGTTTTTAGGGAGAAAGGGTAGTTTCCAAAGAAAACAGTGCCTGTCTGAGAAGCACTAAGACCTCCTCAAGGAGGGAAAAGAAATTAAAATGTCACTGTAAAATATGGCCCCTGTACTTTACTTTTCATTTTGCAGTAGCAAGGAGAGAATATAATTCTGTTGACCTAAGTGCTGTAGAAGTGTATGGTGATTCCTATTTATGTCCAAAATATGAAAGTTCTTGGAATTTTTTGGAAAATGGTGAAATCATTATCATGCCAGTCTTGTTGCAATTATGACCTCCATATGCGTACACACATGTAACACGTTTTATTAAACGTGTCTGTTTAATAAAATTTTGCTAACCGAAAAAGATTAATTGTTATCATGGGGCTTGTTTACATAAAAAGTTAGTTAGATTTTGTTGGATCTGAGCTGAAATGCACCAAATAAAAACCAATTCTTTTGTACAAGATCAGCTCACAGACATGTAAAATGTTAGTATAGGAATTCAAGAAGGCAGTGATGGACAGAAACCTGAATCTTCCCTTAATCTTTTGCAGCAGAGTGAAGGAGGATGGAGGTGAATAATGCTTTCAAGAGACATTCTTTATATATGTTCTTGTTATTTTGTTGCATAATGAGCAACATCATTATGAGCAACCATTTTGGTAGATTCAAAAGATACTAGTAAGATTAAATGACTGTTGAGGCTCTGAAATGCTGTAGAAAAATCTTTTAGGTCTCAGATATAGCATTTATGTGAAGACTGTATGTACTCTGTAATTCACAGGAACTAGGAATACGTGCTGCGTGATGCAGCATTGATTAATGCATTTATGGTTTTATTCTTTATATGTTTTATTGCAGCGCATCTTCTCCGAAGCTTTTCACAATCCAGATAACCACTGCTAATGTGTGATCTCTAACCATTCATAGTCCCTCTTACTAGAAATAATTAAACCTTCCTGCCTAACCTGTACTGACCCCTCTGAGACTGCACTTCCCATCCTGGATCAGCTCTATCCACACTCTAAAACGGGGTGTTTTTATCTGAAGTGTGGTCCAGGGAACTGAATTCCTTTTCTGCTGCAGTCTCAAACCATCTTTATAAGCAAAGATCCAGGAAAATTCTTCCAGTCCTTGACATCAGTCTGTAGTTTCATGACCTTCCAGCTTCATAGTTTCATCTTAGGGGGTAAATTTTCCACTCCTGTGCCACAAATCATTTAAATCTTTTCTTACTGACCTTGTAAAATGCCCTCTCTGCATTGTTTACTCCTGTCAGGGTGTTGCCCAAGTACTCTGGAAAGTTTCAGCAGAGGTAATTAGCTGACAAATCTGCTTCAGTTATTCTTCACTGTGCCTGTTAAACACCGGGCTGTATTCCTAGGCCAGAATAAATGTCCCATTCCGTGTTACAGAAAATGAGGCTTCAGTTTCTCATTTAGAGACACTGCTGTTAACTCTTGTCTAAGCACTAGTACTTGTTCAGTACCAGAAAAGCCATATGTGTAGTTGCCTAGATGGAGAATAACCTGACAGAAAAATTATTTGGTGTTGTTTACTGTTTACCTGCAGCAACAGCTCTGTTCACATGACTCAAAGGGAAATACAGAGGTGAGAACAGACTGATAGGGGTGAGACTATTTGGGAACCAACCCAGAACTGCTTACAGACAATGACACCCACTGAATCTGTTCTAGCCTTTTTCACAGTGAGAATCAAGAGGGTAAATTTGCAGTGTTTCTCTTTTGGGTAATATTTTTAATATTTTCCCTGTCTGTCTTCACAAAAACACTTTCACAATGTTTTCCCAGTATTTCCCAATGCAAGCTACTGTGTTTGTATATGAACAGATATTGCCAAAGGCTTTTCAGATTTATTTAATTTTAAGAACTTAATGCTTTTGCCATAGCAAAAGTACAAAACAACTTTTAAATCGTTACTAGTAATTGTCTTTTGTAATTTTCTTATAATCACAAAGCTGGCCACATCATTCTATGGAAAAATTATTTTCAGGATTTTTATTACAGGCTTCCAGGACTTCATGCTCCAAAAGCATAGTGTCCAAAGCATTCAGCCACCACAGAAATATTTTTTTCAAATGTTGAAGATGATGTTTGTGTGATGATACATTCTGCACTTTATCATTGTTCTTTGTTACAAGACATTTTCCATTTTCTAAGCTATGACATGATATTTTTTTACTTTCAGAATCTGCATAGGTTTTTCTTCTTTTAAATGAAAGAAAATTATTTGCAGTTTGTGGTTTATATAGTAGGGCTGGTACATTGAAACAGGCTGTTGAGTTTCCATCCCAGGAAGTTTTAAAAAACAAACAGGGTGATATCCTGTGCTGTCTGTAGTATCTGACCATGCTTGGAGAAGGCTGGTTGATTTTTGTCATCTCCAGAGCTCTCTTCCAACCACAATCATTCTGGAGTTGTGAAAAATTCAGTATCAGTAGATGGGTGCCTACCTACATGCGCACCTAGGCAAAGGCAGGAAAACACTTCTTTATCTGCAATTAACATACGTGCCTGGAGAGCTGGGAGGTAGCACTTTCATTGAGATGGAATTTGATGTTTAGCATTTACAGTGATAAAGGTGTCTACCTGAGTTATTCTAGGTGGAAGCAGTTGAGAAGTTAGAGGCATCAAAGAATAAATGCTCTTTAAGTGTTAATTATTTTTGTGTGATAAAGATTTTCCTTCCAGTACTAAGACCTAGCCTACAATCATTCCTTTGTTGTACAGTTAATTAGAATTTTGACTTCTTTAGGATTAAATGATTGGAAAAATTTTTTAGGATATAGTTTAGGAATTCAGTATTTTTGTATTTTTGAAGAACTGTCAGTTTCTAAAATAATCTAAAACCCACAGAAGTAGTTTTTATTATTTCTTACAAAGTAGGTTTATATTCCAGTGGATTGATAAAATTACTTGCATATTCAGAACTTGAGTTTGTTTAGTTTTTAACAAATTATATTTTGGGAATGTTTTATGGTTTTGGAAGATTTATAGGGCTACATTTAATGGCAGTTTCTTTTGCCTGCTCTGTAGCACGTGCCATGGTGGTTTTAAGTGTGCTGTGCGTGTTTGACAAGTTAGAAACTCAGCAAACCCCATCAGTGCTGAGCCACACTGTCTCAGGCTTGTTTTTGTTGGCTGGTATCCACTACCACGCTATAAAATACATTTACTTGACAGAAGAAAGTGGAGAACCACATTAACTGCAGAGTTTAAAAAGGCTGGCTAACCACATGCAATAAATATTAACAGAAGAAAAGGCCACCCACCTTTGACCTTTAATATTTGTTACTAGCTCTGGTGTTTTAGAGTTAGTTTAGCATTTTGAGCATTACATAACAATATGTAAAACTCTTAATTAAATCCAACAGCTTATTAGCAACTCTGTATTGTGTACTTCAGGTTTACGTCTAAAAATGTTGTTCTGTAGTTTTCTTGTAATAGGCAAACCAGGTTTATTTCTACCTGTAAGTAAATGGGAAAGTGTACTGTTGTATGTAGTGTGTATGTAGGAGGGTGCTTTGCTGGGGAGCCTTGTAAAGAATGGCTGTTTGATTAATGAAACTTTGACTCACTCAGTTTTTCTTCTAAAAGAGAATACAAAGCAGAAAAAACAGCTTAGGAGAGTGTCATGCATCATCTTGGTAAAATGAAGTTCTGTGGTAAAATGAAGTTCTGATTCACAATGGCTGAATGGGCTTCAGAATTTTTTCAATATTTTTAATGTTATGTGTCTGCTAGCATCAAAAAAATGGAGGCTGGACCAAACCAGAAATAGTATGGAACATGCACTGGGAAGTTGGAGGGAGAAGAAAAGAAAGGCTAGAAAAGGGAGCATTGTTCCATGAAATGCTAACAAGATAATGCATCTTGCTAGCTCTTATTTGTTACATAAGTGGCACAAACCAACTTCAGCCTTGGACAATATCCATTTAAGGCATTACTGTCAGTCAATAATAGATATTTTCTTTTGTGTTTTTGATGAGATGTGTTGTCCTTTGTGGCAGATTGCGCCCACTTTGGCTCTCTGGAGTCAGAAGTTTGAGTCTTAGAGTTTCTGTGCTGTCCTGTTGAATCAGACTCAGAACAGTACTCACATGGAGATTCGAAGTCACATGTAGAACAATACTCTGAATGTCTGAAAATGAGTTTCCATGCTGACCAGAAGGATGACAGTACTGTGAGACATTGGCTTCAAATACCAAGTTCTTACTGTTGTGGGGACTAAAGAAGCAAGAGTGAAAATCAGCATCTCTTCCATTTCTGCAGTCAGCAAGTGAAAAGGTCAACACTGTATGACAAGAAGAGAAAAAACAGATAAAGTGATGAATGAAGTGGAAGAATTAAGAATTAAAAATAAGAATACAGAAGTCATGAGGGCTTGAATCGCTATATCTTATCTGAAGCACTTAATCGTTCTCCTTCAAATCCTGCTTTAACTTTCCATTTTCATTGTGCCCATGAAGATCCTGGCAGCAGATAGTCTGTAGAAACCACTGGTTATCACACTGTCACCAATTTTGACTTCCTTCCCTGACTACATGCTGGTGTTGTCACTCCTTTTACATTGTATTCTACTCTGGAGTTACTCATTCATGTATTCACATGCTCATTCATATGCTTAAGCTTGGTCCTGCTGCACTGTGGTGCACTCTTTGACAATGTGAATATTAATTCTAAGATCCAGATGAGTGACCAACTAACTGTCAATATCTCACTCTATTTCAGAGTGTTGTGCGTTGCCTTTGGCATCCCAAGCTGAACCAGATCATGGTTGGTACTGGAAATGGTTTAGCCAAAGTGTACTATGATCCTGTAAAAAGCCAGAGGTACGTAATCATGATTTATTATGGTTTTTTTCCCCTCAAATTTAGCCTGATTCTGTGATTCAATGATTATAGTAAGAAAACTGGTTTGGTAACATTTGTTTTGCAGAATTCTAGTTATTCAGCAGCAGTGGAAGGAGAAAAAAATAACCTAAAATGTTTGCATATGAAGAGGGGTACTTTTTCCACTGGGCTTTTCCTTATGCAGTGTGCTGGCTGTTCTACCTGAATTTACAAATGCTTTCATTTTTTAATTGCATGAAATGTGCGGTAAGAACAACCTTTCATCCTGTCTGTTGGAGGTTGCTGAGGAAGTGTTACTGAGTGGGTATTTATTTTATTTAGGTCTTTGTATTGTATTCAGGTTTCTTAATCCATATTTTCTTCCTGAAGTAAAAATCTTGTTTAGAAGCATCAGACTTCAGTGCTAATGAAGTAATGCTGGAAGACCCAGTTAGACAATGTGCAAAGCAAGGAAACACATCCCCACCTTTATTTTAGTCTTCTTCACCACCCTGATTTATCACATGAGGATTTTGTCTGTATATCTAAGGGAAAGGTGGTACTGATTTGTCAGACAGTGACTTACCAACCTAGGATGAAGAGGGCCTAAGTAGAGGGCCTATAAATATTTGTTTCGTGATTAATTCTCTTTTAGGAAGTGGCACATTCTTCCTTCCTGTCAGCCAGGAGGAAATGTACAATTCATTGATACTGAGTGGAATAAATAAGGTGCTCTTCCTATGTATGTGGTATCTTAGTTTGCTGGCATCCTAAACCAAACTGAGTTCATGTTTTCTGTATACTTACTGTCACCTGGGCACTTCGGTGTGAAGATAAACTCTGGTTTACAAGATTATCAGAAATAAGTTTTATTTTCTGATTTGGGCAGTTTAGAGAACATGGGAGTTGGTCATCATTTTTTGGACCATAGAGTCCTAGTGCAGTTTTGTGCCTGGGTTATTTCTTGGTAAATACCATTGGTTTAAATCAATCTTGCTGCAGCCAGGCTTATGCAGTCTTTCCTGCCCCAGTGTTACAGGCATCTCTGGTTAGATAACAGCCAACTCTTCTGCCTAGGAAGAATTATATCAGGAGCAAATGAGTGCCCAGGTTTGGAGAGCAGCACTTCTAATGTGCCCAATAAAGTACTGTGGGCAAATGAACTGTGAAATGAATCTTCCACCCTTATTTCTGCATGTCATATAAGCTGCTCTGTAACAGAAACACTGTAATCTCCCTACCCTCCTTCACATGAGCGTGAACAGACAAAGATACACACATTCATGAATATTTAGAGTGCTGTATAATTTTGTTGAGACTGTCTTGAATAAAAACTGGTTTCTGTTTGATATAAACAGACTAACTGAACTGCTCTGTTTCCTCCTAGGGGAGCAAAATTATGTGTGGTCAAAACAAAACGAAAAGAGAGACAAGCAGAGACTCTCACGCAGGATTACATTATAACACGTAAGAAATTTAAACATAACTTTATAGTAGAATCCTTAGCTCATTCTTAGGTTTGAAATTATTTGCCGATTGTTTAGCTCTATTTTTTCTCCTCTAAAAACCAGTCTTTCATTAAGCATTGATCACTGGTGTCATATATTGGTGCTTTGTACAATTTTTTTATAGTGTTGCACAAACAGAAAGGTATATCTAATCTGTACGCTCTGTAAAGTTGTTAATAATAGTTGGTTTCTTGATTGTGGTGCTCCTGAAAGCCTCAAAAATTTTGGAACTTTTTTACAGCTTCAGTTTTCTGTTACTTAATTGTGGAATGTAGATGGGTTTAGGAAGAGTTTTGCCATCTTGCAGTACCAGTGACAAAATCAGAGATGGGAGATAGGTCTTGAACAAATAACAAATGATTTTTCAAAATTTATGACTTACTGAAGTTATACAGGTTTTTAAATAGCTTAATTGTCCCTAGGCTTGGGGGTTTTATGTTTGTAGTAAGGACCACTGACGCATAAGAACTAGTTATAATTGCTACTATAAAATGTTCCATGATCTGCCTTTTTCCAACAACAGATTTTACACTGGAATGAGGGAATTAACTGAGAGATCTTGACCTTCCCCATTAGCATTGCCCTGTGTAGTGTTTCCTCATGTGAAATGAGAACAGTCACGTGGTGGTGTGTTGCTTCTGTGGTGTGCTGCTTCTGTGGTGTGCTGCTTCTGTGGTGTTCATCCTCTTCCAGTTCCAGGGTGTTCAGTTCTGATATCTAGTAGTACATTCTAAAACCAATGCTCTATAAAACAAACAAGTTGTTTGGCAGCATAAAAAGTGGTTTAGAATGAGGAAGTTTGGGCAGTCTTGGTAACTAGACCCATATCAAGGCACTTTGGTTCTGGGTTCCCATCTTGGCCACTTTCCAGCCACAGCTGTTGCCAGCCTACCTTACTGCTGCAGATATCCAGCTCCGGTTTTTGGGAGCTTAAATTTAACTAGCAACTACCAAAGATCAGGGGTATTCATTCTCATTGGGTGCTCTTAATCCATCCTTACAACATGCTTCACTGTAATGCTTTGTGTGCACTATCATTAGTGTTTATATTCTAAAGAACTTCAATGATTTTTTAAAGCAAATTCTGCTTAAAATCCAGTGGAACATATCTGTTCAATGGCAATTATAAATGTCATCGAAAGATATAGGTCCCAGTTATGCAAATTTTTGGGGTTTTATCACTGAATTCTAGCTGATTAGATGTTTCTTCCACATAATTTTGAAACTAAACAAAGATGCTTCCATATACATCAATGCAGAAAAATGTTGTAAGGATTTGCTCAGCAAATTTTTAGTTTTTTCCATATTTTGGAAACTTTTCAGAGGTTAGATGTGTGTCTTTTAAATTTACAGATAGAATGGGGAAGACCTGAAGATCTCTGAAGTGCTTTTGCAAAGTGAACTAACCCCTTTTTTCTTCTCCTTTTTTTCCCCCTCTTTCTTCTTTTTGTTTTTTTTTTTTTTTTCTGATCAGATTTCTTGTTGCTCTTTAATATCAGAATTGCCTGTAATGGCTACTTAAAATTCAGGAATGTTGTTTTAAGGGATTAAGTGTCACTTTTAAAACACAGGAATACACAGCATGCTTTTCCCTCAGACAGCCTTGACTCCACAAATGGCAAAGGCTTGGATCTGTGCGTTAGTCACCTCAGATGCTCTGTGGAAACTGATCAAGCTTAGTGTCTGCCAGAAAATTGTCCCTGGCATTTCATACTTAATGAAATCTGCAAAAATAAAACTTCCACATTTTTTTCCAAAGATCTGCTGTGTGTCACCAGGCTGTAACTTCATTCAGTCTAATAAATTGAATACAGAAAGAAGCTGAAAACTCAAGCTGATAAGTGCCTGAATGCTCCCTGATATTTTTGTGGGTTTTTTTTTTTATTCAATATAGAGATGATGTTCCTAAATTTAAGATTTGTTTGGTTATTTTTTGTCTTTATTGGATCATTTGACCGCTGCACAATTTCCCAGGTTTTGGGAAACAGCGGCAATGAGCATACCTGTGTGTGAGATCTAAGCCTCTGCAAGAAAGCTATGCCCATTAACATGGTGTTTCTCTGTTGCTGACAAATGACTCTCTTGTCTGAGTGGATCAAAGCCATTACTGTGACCGAAGATAACAATTTTATGAGGAAATAGAAGTTCTAAATCCTGACAATTTAGCCAGACTTTCACAGTTACGATATTTTTTCAGTGGTGATTAATCTTATTATTTAAGAAAGAACATGATTGTGATTTCATGTGCATAAAATTACATTTGGAATCATTGAGGGATTTCTGCTCCATTATTTGTCATATCCAAAAATGTATCAAGCTCCTTGTCATGCTCTTAGAATATGAGAAAGCTGAAGAAACATGGGAAGTTCAGAAAAGAGTAGCTGATTGGTCACAATGCTAATGTTGACAGAGGTATGAATGAAATACGCATAAACTGCAAACAGTAATTCAGATGAGAAGTTCCTGCCTGAAGGAACCCTGATATCTGACTGTTTTCATCTGTGAAAAATTCAGCAGAAAGAAATGCCTGAAAGTACAACTCATTAAACCACTGTTTGGATATGGGATTACTGGGAGCCTGCTCCTGACACCTCTTCCAGTGCAAGAAAGAATCCAACTCTTTGTACTTAAAATGTTAAAAAGAAAAAGGAATTTCTAACATTTCATTTTGTCCAAACTGTGACCCTTCAGCCCATGCGCTTCCAATGTTCCGTGAACCACGACAACGAAGCACGAGGAAACAGCTGGAGAAGGATAGGTTGGACCCGATGAAGTCTCACAAACCTGAACCTCCAGTAGCAGGAGCAGGTAATCTAGGCATAATCTTTTTGAACTGTTGTATGCCAAAGAGGCCATCATGCTGTGGTTCTACACTCATTTGGATTTGCATTTTTTGGGTGTTGACTCTACTCCATAGATGTATGGGCAGTGTCCAGCACTTTAAGACATTGATGTCTCACTGGAGTGCTTGCCTGCAAAAAATTAGTAATTACAATGGCTTACTTTGAGTTACATAGTCAGTAAAACACCCACGTGAATGTATCTCTAAGTTAAACCCTTTCTATAGCATTAAATAACCTCCTTTTATCAGGTCAGCATTGCAGACTTTGCGTATTTCTTAATTATTTTTCTCTTCATGCCACAGGTCGTGGTGGCCGTGTTGGGACTCATGGGGTCACCCTGTCATCATATATAGTCAAGAACATTGCCCTGGACAAGACAGATGACAGCAATCCTCGAGAGGCCATTTTACGTCACGCGAAGGAAGCAGAGGAAAATCCATACTGGGTGGCTCCAGCATACGCTAAGTAAGGAAACAATTAAGAATACAAGTAACATTTCTGTAGGCCAGTAGGAGTTTAGTTAAAATTAGTTAGATGTTTTTAATGCTATACTTTGCCTATTTTGGATTGCTGCCACTAACTTGTAAACCAAGAATATACTCTTCTATAAAGATACGAGTTTCCAGGAGGTTAAGTTGTTGAAATTTCATATTTCCACTTCTAAAATGTAACCTGCCAGTGCTAGAAGTTATTTTAAAGCCTTCGAAGTTAATTTGAGTTTAGAATCTTATCCAAATCAGTGTCTTAAACTGCAATATACCTTTTAGTAGGGTACTGTCCCATTGGTGTATTGAGATGATTTTCCAACACACCCTCTAGTTCTGACTGATTCTTAGATTAAACCTTCAAAATATTTGTGTGATGTTATGACAGGATGATTTCTCAACTGTCATAAGTTTTTATCTGAATTTTTCCTGCATGAGGACCCAAGTAACTGCCTAATTAACTTGGTTTGAAAGGTACAGCAATATTAAAAATTGCAGCTGATAAAAATTAAAAGCTGATAAAATCTCCTACCAAAAATTGCACATAATGAAATAAGTTTTCAGGTGTTACGTAAGTTAAGGAGCCTTATCAAGATTTTTGTGGTAAAACCTTGGTAACCGCACAGAATCACAGCTTTCAGATGGTGGTATTTGTTTGCTGACTTGACCCACATGTTCACAAAGATAACTAGATAGCAGTTCTAAAGCAGCTTGAGAATGTCAGTGACCCAGCCTGGCTTTGAGCAGGTAATTAATAAGTATGGTACACTGGTAATTGATTAGTATGGCATTTGGTGTTGTACATCAGACCAATGCATTATGGAGTATCACTCTTGCTACCAAAGATGGGATATTTGAAAGCCTAATTCTGTAGCAATTGCTGTAATGAATATATTAAATATTGATGTTTAATTGTTTGATTGCAAGAGAGGAAATATATTCAGAATGTGTAGGCATCTGGTTTTATTTGAGGAATCCATCCTCAAAAGTAAATTCAACCACACATTCCATCAGGTAGACAGATATGTCAGCATATTTTTGGCTTACTAACTTCATTGATTGTATATTAAGTTTCATCCCCAACACCTGCAATGTAGTAGACATGAAAGTTTTAAAACAAAGCTGTGTTAGAGGAGGCTTACTGTGTCAGGTGGCCAGATCTCATTACAGTGCCTTGTTAAAGATGTGGCTGCAGGGGAAGAGGAGAGCTGGCTGAGAAGTGGGCAGGATGCAAGTCCAGACTGCTATTAACTTACACACCAGACGGTGATGTGTATGTGGGGGAATTGGACTGCAGCCAGCAGCACGCTGCCTTGATGGCTTTGTCAGCTGATAAATCTCATCTTGGTGAGGATGAGAGCCTCAAGCCATCATCCTTGCTTTAAAAGCTTTAATTTCAGATGCACTCTCTGCAAAGAGCATTAAAAAACTCCCAAACAGTAATAACATTATCAACAACAACAGAACAACAACATAATAATAACAATACAATGAAATGCAGAAACTTGATTGTTTTGTGTTCTTAGTTTTCAGAAATTCAGGACTTTATTAACAGCCACATAAAGCTGTGCTATTATAATATAACATGTATAATACAATAATACGTGCTATTATAATTATATCCTACATCTGATTTTATGAAGCATGGATATTTAACCTCTTCATAAAATGCATTTTACAGATGTACTTAAAACTTTTATTTAATAAAATATGCAAATTACAAATAATAGGTCTAAATTACTGTTCAGTACTGGTTTGTATACAGCACAGGTGCTTTAGCTATAGCATAAGTTACACTAAAGATTTAAGAATGGTGATATTCTGATACATTTTAAAAATCATACACTGTCTTAAGACCCAAAAACCATACAGCCAGTATGTTTCATTTTTTTAAATAGTGTTTATTCTTTTACTACTTTATTCTTCTACTACCAGTTTTTCCACATTTCTTGTAGTAAATTCTTACTTAAACATGGTATAAAACTATCCACTTGATATATCTTTTGTTTGGCAAGGCTTTTGGTTTTGTGCTGTCTATGCACATAAAATTTTCACTCTCCTTCTTCCAAAAATGTGTAAGGAAACTGTAGTTATTTCGTTTTCTCCAGTGATAGTTACTAAATAATTTTAGACTAAGAAGATTAAGAAGTGCTCTTTTCTGGTTAATCAGTTTTCATAACTTGGAATATGATAACTGGATTGATTTGTCTGTTCCTGATCCATAGTGGCTACATCATTCTCAATCAGTTAACAGATTTAATGCTTTTTTAATTTTATATAAGGGAGAGTGACTTGTGCATGGGGGAGTAGTGACTGGACAAGGGGAAATGGTTTTAAACTAAAAAAGGAGAGATTTAGATTAGATGTTGTGGAGAAATTCTTTATTCAGAGTGTAGTGAGGCACAGAACAGGTTGCCCAGAGAAGTTGTGAATACGCCATCCCTGGAAGTGTTCAAGGCCAGGCTGGATGGGGCTCTGAGAGGCCTGGTCTGGTGGAGGGTTTCCTGCCCATGGCAGGGGAGTTAGAACTGGATGATCTTTAAGGTCCCTTCCAATACAAACCATTCAATGATTCTATGATTTTCACTTCAATAAATTTTCTAAAAAATGCATGGCTTCTGTTAGTTTAAGCATTCTGTGTAAAAATATATCTCTTTTTTTGCAGTTAAAGATGCATAATTTACTCTTGAAGCTGAATATTTGTTTTTATTATTTATCACTTGAAAAAATTTTTAAGCTTGTTATCATTAGCTTGACCTTTCTGTTCCCCCTGATATTTGAGCCAAAAAGGAGGGGGAAGTACATAAGAGGCAAAAGAATGGGTGAAAAACAGATGCTGCTGAAAAGGATACTGGAGGTGATAAGAAGTACATGCTGAATCAGGAGATGACATGTCGTAGAAGCCCAGTGTGAATAAAGTGTCAAATAAGATGTGATCAACACAGCAGAAAAGTCATAATTGAATGAGGATAAGGAAAAGATCTTGAGATTTCTCAGGAAAAGGCTTGTTAGAGTCCTTGGCAAGAGCCATTCCAGTGGAGTGAAAGGAAAGGAAGGACAGATTGAAGATTTCAAGTAAAGAACTACAGGAAAGGAACTTGAGGCATGAGTTGTAAATGTTTGAAAATTACATTCTTTGTGAGCTGTTTGTTTTAACACAGCTGTACAGATACACTATTATGACTTCAGATGTCCCTCTGAAGCATCAGCAGGAATTACTAAGCATTGTAGCTGAGTGCCTAATCAGATGCAGCTTTCTTCTGTACCAGAGAGAAAGTGAGGGTGAAATTTCCTTCCTCAACGAGGTGAACTGGAGTTAATGAAAATACCTTTCATTTCACTGATGTTACCCCTATTTTGCAGTCTTTCTCATTGCTGCTTGTCACTGTCAAAAGGGAATGACTTGAAGCAAGAGTCTGTAGCTCTGTTGTGTTCACTGAACTTTTTCTCAAGGGCAGTGCATCTGTGAAGTGTTAGTCATGTAATGACTCGAGTATTCGTTAGATGAAAAATCAGGACTAAGCAGAATGTCTTATAATAGCAGTCTTGTTGGCATGCATTGTTATATTTATCCTAAATATTATTTTGTAAATTGGTAATTTTGAGAGGGAAACCCCTGAGATTTAGAAAAGAGTCAAGCTGGTTGTTGGGATAAAGAACAAAAAAGGCTCCTGATGCTAAAAACCTTAACTTTTCCATTTGGAAGTGACCTTTATGACATTATTCTGGTTTCCATGCATGCTTGAAAATCTTTTTTCTTTGTTTCAGTGCAATATAAACACAAATTTCAGAAGTTACTTTGACATGAGTCACATGTTGTGATTTGCAGTTGTCATCTCCAGCTGGTTGTGCTGCTGCAGTATTATTTATCTTCTAGTCTATGATCCTCACATATCAATGAGCTACTTTTACTGGATCCCTGAAAAGCAGTTAAGAAAAACAACCCATAACCAGAGGGATTATGGTGACACTAAAGCAGTCTTCATGGCCCCTGGAAATTTTCTAGAGGTCTGCATGTCTGAATATCTTGAAAACCACTGAAGTAAAGAGAAGCACATAGTATAAATAAATCATGTTAGTTTGTTTTCCCATTTTTGTTTGCAGCCTGTTGCCATAACCCACAATAGGAATGCATTTCTCAGTGTATTAGATACTGGTTTCAGCTGACAGTCATGTGGAAACACAGGATCATAGAACAAAAGTTAGGTAGGAAGGGAATGCCTGAAGTCATCTAGTCCAAGCTCCTGCTTAAAGTGTGTTCACTGCTCAGATCCAGTTAGACTTGCGTTGTTCTGGGGTTTGCTTGACCAAAATATCCTCAAGGATGGAAATTCCCATACCTGTCTGGGCAGCCTGTTCTTGCAATTTAGTTGCCAGGCACAGTATGTCCTTGCTAGGTCCATGCTGGCTGTTCTCTACCACCTTCATGTCCTTCATATATCTGGAAATGCCTTCCACTGAGATTCATTACATAGCTTTCCTGTGAATTGAGGTTGTGTAATTCCCCAAGTCCTCCTTTTGCCCCTCACAGAGATGATAATTACTTTTTCTAGCCATTGAGACCCGCTCCTAGTCACCATATCATCTCAGTGATGACAGAGTGCCCTTGCAATGACATGGGCCAGCTCCCTCAGCACCTCTGGATCCACCCATGTGATACGGATTTTTACGTATCCAATGAGCTACAAACTCCGTCTTCCTCTTCCTGTTGGAAATGTCTCAGTCCCTACCAAAGACTCTGCTGTAGTGTAGGAGTGCTCGGAGGCCTGAGGACAGACCTTTTCAGGGAAAACGGAGCCAGAAAAAGCACCGAGAATCTTGATCTTTTCCATAGGCTATATCAGTGGTTTACCTGTTCAATAAAGCACATTTTCCTTCACATTCCTTTGGCTGTCAGTGTAGCTGTAGAAATCCTTTGTTCTTGCCTTTCACATTTCTTTTCTGTTTCAGTTCCATCTAAGCTTTGGCTCTCCTAACCCTGTTCCTCTGTGTTCATGTAATGCCTCTGTTCTTCTTAGCTGAGGGTGTCCTTGCCTCCTTTGTGTTTTTCCCTTTTGGATTTTGTGGTTTATCACAGTCAGATCCATATGCATCCATGCCAGGCTACTGCCAGGCTGTAGTTTTTGCAGATTACATGTAATCTGTTTTGAGGAGATCGCCTCAAATATCAACCAGCTTTCCTTGGGCCCCTTTGCCCTCCATAGTATTCTGCCATGGCATCTGCCAAACAGATCCCTAACAAACTGAAATCAACCCCCAAAGTCAAGTATAAATAAAACTGAGAAATTTGATGGGGAACAAGAACATAGCTCTCAGAAATAAGAATACTTAATACAAGAAAACTTGTTTTGTTAATTTTCGTAAGAATTTTTGTAAGCATAAAGCAAACTGCTACATTTACTGCAGTAACTAAGCAGAAAAAAATGGTGTTTAAATTAGATTAAATGATCACTGCTAATAAAGCAATAACAAAAACAGTGTTTTAAAATGGTCAGGCATATGGATCACCCTAGGTGCCCAATTACAGCTATGTAGCTTGTGGAGGTGGAAACAGTTTACATTTCAGCTGAGGCTATAGCTATTTAATGGTAATTTTAAAAAGTAAGCTTGACTTCCTCTGCATATTTTTGCTTTAGCTGAATACTGCTAGATTATGGCACAGCTTCTCTTTTTTTTTCTTCTTTTTTTCTCCTCCTTCCCCTACCTCAGCTTTCCTGTATTCAGCAGACCTTTTCTGAAGTCTGTGCCTTTCTTCAGTGCCACTGATATCCTGGAAAAAACTTAGGTTTTGCTGCTTGTTTGACAAATTTATTCATTCCTCAGTCGGAAATGTTTATCTGAATTATGACAGTTGCAGGTTTGTGGTCAGAAATTATGGGCTTCCACTTGATTAGTTGTGCTTTAATAATGAAACTCTTAATACAGAGGTCATCCTAGAGGACATTTAGATACTTTTCATCTATTGTGGTGAAAGGAGGGTACGTTGCTAAAATGGGCTAAATAAACCTTTGTCAGTATGTCTTTGTTGGAAAAAAGAGAAGATTCCATACATTCTTCCTTTTCAGCAGCTAGCAAAATCCAGTATTTCAGCCAATAAGGCCTTCATCCCTGGTGTCTGTTTTAGATTCAATGTTGATTTTCCCCCCCCCCCCCTTTTTTTTTTCTACTAACTTCTTTCTTCAGCAATGGGTTAAATAGAGTTTATGTAAGTATTTTATAATGAAATTTTAAAACTGAAAAATATTTAAAAATCTCATATATGCTTTCCATGGGCAGGAGAAGGACTCATGTAACTTCCACAGTATAAGTCCTCGTCTGGGTGCAAGGTCTGCTACAGCCTGCACCCAGGGAGCACCTGGCAGTCGGAGTTCTTCAGTAGGGCCATCTCTGGAATTATCATCAGCATGACCCTTTCCTCCATGGCAAGCTTGGAGGATGGAGGGGCAGGCAGGCAATAGAAGGATCGTGCATGTGATGTAGTTGTCTTTGACTAGTTTTGGTGATTTTGAACCTATTTGTGTCACATATTAAGTGGAGAATCCTTCTCTGTAAGAGCTGATGGCTTGCTATTACTCTTTGAAGTCAGAGTCAACATGGGATTTTGCCTATTGTGCTATGTAAGGCAGGCACAATTTTGGTAAGGTTTATGCGTTTTGTAGAGCTTGCCAAATAACAGTTATTATAATAATAATGCTTCACATCCTTAGACTGATACAAAAACATTAGTTAATATAGTAATGAGATAATGACTGCCTTGGGTGCATTTTATACTTTGTCATGTTGAGAAGTTGAGCACAACCAGCATCAGAAATCTGATAGTTTCAGCTCTGCAGTGACTGTGCTGAGAATTAAGTTGGAAGAGGGGACCATGCAGTTGTTAAAGTGTAAAACAAGGGAACTGAATGTCCAGACAATTTTTTGAATTGCTACTTGATACTGTGTTCATTTAGAAAGTGAACAGTAATTACTTTTAAAGTTTTAAGTGGTATTTAAAGTTCAAACAAAGAGTGGAGGAATTGATACCATCAAGCTTGACTGTCAGATACACTGCGTTCTCATATGAAGATCATTATATTTTTTATGTTACAGTAGTGTTAGATAAAGTCTCTGGGGTAGAAGCTGTTTTTTCATGCATAGGCTTAGCCAGAAACCTGGCTTAGCTGTTCTGTTTTCACTTACTGGCTGTTGCTGTTCTACAGTGTATCAAAATGGAAGTTTCTTTTCAAAAAGTCATGGAATAACAAGGCCAGTGTCTCTGCTTCTCTAGCATGGAATTAAATGTATTTGTTCCTCACTTCTGTCTTAATTTTATTCATGGAATATACAGATACTGGTTGTAAGCTAATGAGGAAATAATACTTGCAAGACGTGTGTGATTGTTGTGCTTGTTTGTCTGTGAGCTGCAGGTTTCTTCAGTTCTGAGAAGATTAGTTGATAGGTTATTGTCAAAAATAAAAAATAGTCAAGCCTAGTATGCTCTTTTTTTGAAAAAGTGTCTATATGGTGTCTATATGCCTGTCTAATACAGTTTCTGATAAAGTATTGTAGTCTGACTACTATTTTAATCTTTTTAATGTTTTCTAGAACGCAGCCAAAAACAGTTTTTGCCGAAGTGGAACCAGAAGATGATGAAACAGACAAGCCAGAGTGGAAAAAACGTAAAATTTGAAAAACACTTTGTTTAAAGAATCATTTTGGAACATTTGAAACAAGATGAAACATTTATTTCTTTATTTGGGATAGTGGGTCAAAATTTGAAAGCAAGTATTACTTCAGTTTATAAAACTTGCTGCAGTATAAAAAGAGATTGTTGAATTACACTGGCTTAATCCCACATCTGAATTTTGTAATAAGGAATTACTTATACTGTGCAAATAACTCCTGTACATCAGTTACTAAGCTTTGTGAGTTAAGTGAAAAATATATCTGTAGCTATGATATTTTATAAAAATCCTTTCCTAAGATTTTTTCCCTCCTGAGAGCTGAGGGCCTCAGGAAGGAAATGTAAATAATAACTGTCTTCTGCTGTGGAATGCAACAGGTGCATCTTCCCTTGGTTCATGTGAATTGTTTTCAATTGATGACCAATCACAGCCACCTGTGCCAAGGCTGTGAGCAGTCACAGGATTTTGTAATACATTCTGTTCTATTCCTGTTCTTTGTATCCTTCTGTTCATCTTTTCTCTCTGTTCTTTTAGTATAGTTTTTATGTAGTATTTTGATATAATATGTAAGCTAATAAATCAGTATTCTGAGAAACATGGAGTCAAGCCTCGTGTCTCCACACGTGGGGTGTTCGCCTCAACATATATCTTTATAAATAGTGAATTCGTTATATTGACAAATGTTGGGTTTTTTTCATTACTGCCAGCTTTACAGATGCCATGTCATGACAATGTTCAATGAATTTAAGTATCCAAATAAAATAGTACAATTTCTCAGACTCCTTTTTATTTTTTCCAGTTAAGAGCTAACAGATTACTGCTTTACAAGGGCAACAAAGTTTAGATTAGTTATTGTGTAATATTCAAGTTTAGTTGATTTGTTTGCTCACGAGTTACAATTCAGTTCACACTCTGTGTGAATCTTAGAAAACGTGTTTTCTAGTGTCTGTACATCTTTGCATGATGCTCCTTTTCAGTATGTGTAGTATCTACAGTAGCACTGCATACAGCTTATATTTTTTTAAAAATGTGAAGTTGCAGTGGACAGTTACATAATATAGTGTAGTAAAAATAATGTGCTTATTGCCAAGTTGATGCAAAATTTTGTTGAGGTTTGTTATCCCTCTTAGTTTGTCTCGATAAGTTTTAGGAGGCAGCAGATATGTGTATTTAATACCAGGTTTTTGTGTGTATAGACTTTGTTGTATACCTGAATTATGTATATCCTGCCTCACATTTTCTGTAGGCTGATACTATTCTTTATAAAGTAGTTCATCTAAATATGGAAAATTCTCATTTTTTAACACAGAATTGCAGTTCTGAGTGTCATAAATGGAAGGACCAATTTAAAACTAATGAATGTCCTTTAGAGGAGAATAAAGAACCTAAGTTTTAGGCCTTTATGTTTTGATTATAATAATACACAGTATGCTAAGTATTGTGATTATAATAATACACAATATAACAAGCAGTCTGCATTTCCACTAAGAGTAGAGTAATAGACATGATAAGCAATCAGGCTTTCTTATTTGTGAATAGAACCTGGAGGCATATTTTAAGACTATATTTAGCAAAGCCTTTAATCACTTCCTAACCTCAAGACTGTGGTCCTGATATTCAGCAGAGCTTAGACTTTTTTTTAAGCATAGTTCTGTATCACTGTTTCTTTATATTATTTCCTCTTCCAAGCTTATCATTCTTTTTCAATTATTATTTTTATACTTGAATGAAAACTAAGTCTGACTTCAAAAGGTATAATGAGAAGCATTGGCCACTACAAAATGTTTCCACTGCTTTCAGTACTGTAGTCTTTTGATAAAAGAAGAACTTCAGTACATAGTCAACAACTTGTCTTTGACCCTTGTAAAATTATTTTAATACTTTCGTATAATAGCAAATCAATGTTTAATTTAAAATTGCAGCTGTAATATGTAGAATGAGGGACTGAGTAGATGAGTGGAAAGTAAGTTGAGGAGAAAAAGAAATTCCAGATGGAGAGAAGGAGTTGTTAACAAAATCTGCTAAAGACCTCTCTATGCAATCCTCCCCACAACTTAAAAAACATAAGATGGCATTGCTTCATTTAAGGCTATTTTTTATCTTATGATTCATCCAACTATAGCCCTACAAAATGAACTATTTTCAAAGAAATCTCTTTAAAATCTCAGTTAATAATTTTAAAGGATTTGTATGTTATTAATTTTAGTCTGAATATTAGCATTTTATCTTTTCCTTTGTTAGTTGTTCAACTGAGGCAGTGTGTCTTAGGGAGCAGAGCTGCAGGGAAAGGCAGATGAGGAAAAATGCTGCAGCTGTTCTCTGAGAATGAGAGGAACTTCTCCTTTTCTGTTGTTATTCATATCAGCTAGATCTTGTTTCCTAATTCTTAAAAGAATTAGTTCTGTAAGTGAACACTGCAAAAACTCTGTTGAAATTTCTCTAAGTGTTCATCATTGTTACTTACAGTAATTGTCTTGAATGACTGTTCTAGCAGCCTAGAATTTAAAGCAGTGCCTGTGCAGATACGTATTAAAAGTATTTAAAACTAACTTAAGTTTTATTTATACTTTAACTCTTGGATTGGTTCATTTGACATAGCCCGTAAACTAGATTTCCCGGGATTTTCACCAAGGCACATTTTAATGCATTTTTAAAAACAATTTTAAATCTTGAACAGCTCAATGGTAAGAGTTAAGCTAATCAGAAAGAAGATGTGAGCAGTCTGCTTGACCATAGTCAAGTGATAGTAAACTCAAGGGATAATAAATTTGTGACTCAAGCCTTTGAGTTGTCTTGGGAAACATCTTTAATATTAAAAATATCAACACAAATAAATATTTGCTATGACAGATGGAACTCTTGATGCAAACTGGAACATGAGAACTCTATTGTATTAATTTTTTAAAAAATCTAATTTTCTTATAAGCTTCTCTAAGCTTTTAGAAATTGCTAGGCTATAATCTTAATCTTCTGTGTGTCTGTATTTAGAGTTAAAGTGGCCAGAGTCCAGAGGGGAGTTTGTTTCTGCATTACTGAAACAAGGTGGGATTATTTTGTTTGTTTCCTTAGAAGCATTGTTTACGGAGGTACTGATGCTTCAGTTTTAGCTTTCATATTATCCAGAGTCTGCACTGCATTAGTACTTAACTCTGAACTTCACATAAAGTGTTAGCAAGTTCTCTAAGTTCTCTAAAACTTTACTTAGACAAAACAATCCTTTTCCAGCTTGACGTCCAGAAAGTATAAACAATGGAGAATTAAGGAGAGCAATCTGGGAGGATGGGACTTCATAACCTGAAACTGTAATGGACAATTAACCTCAATATGTAAATGGACCAAAACTTATAAAAGTGAAAACTTGTGACCCATAATCCATCTTGGGTGTAGCCTTGGCCAGGCTCTTGTACTGACCAAGGGGTATCCTTTGAAGGCCTTTCTAATGAATACCTAACTTTATTCCTGTAGCACTGTCCAGCCTCTGTTCTCAGTAGTCTCTCAAAGCACCAGTACCACAATCACTGCATGTGGAAAGGCTTCCATGGTGCTTTCTCCAAACCTGGATTTTTCTGTGCAGCCTCTGGATGTTTCTTTATAGTAATTTATGGTCTTTATCCCTTTGTGCTAATGACAGTTGTAGACCAGCTGTTGGGTACGTCTTGCCTGTCAGGCCAAGGCATTTCCCTCCAGACCGTTGCAGCCCACCAGCTATCTGTCCACCCTCATTTTCCACTCCTTGTTGGTGTTGCTACCACTGTTACAGAGATCTGAATTTAACTGTAGTCCTTTGCCTTGTCCTGTCCTCCTTATTTATTTTCCTATCCTATTATTTAAGTCTTCTGCAACAGGCGAGAAGATTGACAAATCCTGGCACTGTCCTCTGCCTGATTCCAAGTATTTGTTGACTGTTTTAAGTTTCTCTCTGGTCTCCTTCCTATGACTTAAAATTTACTGAAGATGATGCTTTTGCCTCTAGTTTTTATGATTGATAGCAAGAACTGTGAATTTGTCCCCAGAGGGTCCAGTTTTTGGCTCCTTTCTCGTGGATCCATGCCTAATTTCACTTTGCTTTTCCCAACTGCATTTTCTCTGTTGTGGAAAATTATGTATTATGGGAAAAGAAACCATGATCCCTTCTCCTGTCACTTCCATCTCTGCTGGACCCTGAGGAGTGTTCTGCATTGCTGAGCTGAAGCACTATCCTCTTGGTTAGATGTTTATCTAGTTTCTTTGAACTCTGATGGCTTTGGGGATATCCAGCTTGAGACATTTGTAGCTCACATCTTCCTTTAATACTGAATCGTAAGAATTTTGATGTGGCCTGTTAGTCACAATAGTATTACAAAATCCCTCTTACAGTTTTTTTCATGTTGTATGCCTGTATGTCCTTCTAGCCGGTCTCTCAGCAATGGGAATTTACTGGAAGTCCTACAGTTACTCCATTAAAAATCAGCAGGTTTGTTTTGCCTTCTTGCCATGGGCAGTCTGGGAGTTCAGGAGGTTCTGTCCACTGTTGTTAATCCCTGGGCTCTTCTCATCCGTCAGACTTTCATGCATGCACATGAATAAAGAGTTGGATAGTTGGCTAGCAGAGATGTCCTCATGCTTGCCTGGAATTGAAACATAGATGTATCTTATTACATCAGTTTTTAAATCTCCTAGGATTTTTGGCTAATCCCATTTAAACTAGGTTTTGGATACAATATGCACTCAATATGCACTTCATCCACTGAGACTTCACACCTAGTTGCTTCATGCAATCTGGATAGCTCTGAAATGTGAGATATTTGTCTGTAGCATATAACTCCAGAAGAAATTTGCTTCCCATCCTACATATGATGGTATTGTCTCCCACTTTGACAGTGTTGTCTTAGATCAGCTTCTTGGAATCTTCACAACCTTGATGTTAAACAACTACAGCACCTTTGGCAATAGTTTGTGATTTTTTTTTTTTTTTTAATGGCTGATGATCAGACAGTTAATCTTTTTCTGTGATAGAGGACTTAAAACAAGAATGATTGAGAAAGCACAGACAGTATGTGTCTCCGGGGGTTTTTTGTCTTAGCTGTTCCATGAGGCTGTTGTGTGTCAGGCTAATGAAGTTTTTGTCACTCTTTCAAGTAAGTATTCCTGTAGGCTCTGAACTATTTCCTTGTTCTATGATGAAATAGAAGATGCAACAGATTAATACCTACAGCAGATAAACAAGGGCTAGATGGGTCCTTGAGAAGTTCTGTAGTCCATCCTTGACTCACCTCATCTATACCTGAACAAGGTCTGGCATGTTTACTGGATCTTTAATTGCTGCCATGATAGACCCTGCACAATCGCCCTAAGCAATCTGTTCCAGTGCTTCATTCTTAGCACTAGAAAATTTTTAATTGTCTC